TTGCCTCAGCCTCCTAAATATGGGGATTATAAGCATGCAGCATTATGTTCAGCTCCAGAGTGGTATGTGTGTTGTGTGCATGTGTGCATGAGTGGCATGTGTATCTATCTGCATGTGTGTAGGTTTGAGTGTACATGTGTGCACATCATGTGAAGGCCTGAAGCTGATGTTAAATGTTCTCTTCAACCACTTTCCAGTTTATTTAAGCAACGTTTCTCACTGAACCTGGAGCTCTCCAATTCGACCTCGTCTAGCTGCCCAGCTTGTTCCAGCAATCACTAGCCTCTGCCTCCCAAGTGCTGGAATTACAGGTAACTGCCACACTTTCCTGGCTTTTATATGGGTGCTGGGGGTCTGAACTCCTAACTTCAAGCTTGTGCAGCAAACACTTGATCTGCTGAGCTGTCTCCTCGGCCCCCAGAGGGTTAGATGTATATACAACCTGCTGAGTCGTTTAGTTTCAGAGATGACCGCTTGGTATTGGATAACCATAAGGGGTTCATCCAAGGGAAACACTGATTCTCATTCTCTCTCTCTCTCTCTCTCTCTCTCTCTCTCTCTCTCTCTCTCTCTCTCTCTCTCCTATAGCTCATCTAGGGATGGGGCCTTACCAAAAAAAAAAAAAAAACCCACAGAACTCTTTTCTATTTAAATCTCTCCAGTGGTTTTCTATTACACATGAGAAGAGACAAAAATAAAACAAAACAAGCCTGTACGCCCCATGTCCCACAGGCAACATGCTGAGGTCAAGCCTCACTCCTGCCTGCGTAAGTTCTTTCTGGCCCCAGGGTTCCTTCCCAGTTCTAGAATATCAGGTTCCTCTTCCCTGAAAGCTGCTGCCCTTTCTAAAAGTGTCCTCTCCACACCTCTGCCAAAGGACTTACTTAAGGAATGCTGGCTAGCTCCAGAGAAGGAAGGAAGCAGGAAGGAATGTGAGGACGAAACTGGACTGTGGCTGAACCTCCACAGCAGGCGACCAGCTCCCGTGACCTCCCATCTCCAGTTTTCTATCTTTAGGTTTTATCACTCCAGAGTTAACTGTTGCACTGGTCTCCTGAAGCCAAGCAATCGCCTCCATTAATTAGGAGTTTTTGATGTTCCCTGACAGCTTAGCAGTTAGGATTTCGTCCCCTCCCTCCCTCCCTCCCTCCCTCTCCCTTTTCTCTCTGTTAATTAGGGAGCTTTAAAGCAAAAATTAACCGTACAAAATGGAGTTTCAACATGACATTTTCGTACGTGCTCCTAGTGTTCTTTGATAATGTTCACACACACCCCAATCCCATGTTCTCCTCCAATGTCCATCCCGCCCCACTTTGTTCCTCTTCCTCTCTCCTAACGGTACTTTTCTCAGCTTTCATGCTCATCTGTTGACTAGTTTTTAATCTGGATTCCACACATAAGAAAACATAGAGTATGTCTGGTTTTGAGTCTGGCTTATTTAACACTCGCACCAGTTCTATCCATTTTCCTCCCAATAGCATGATTCTTTTCCTCTTCATGGATAAATAAACCTCCACTGTGTATACACCCCATATTCCCTTTATCCATTTATCTGTTTATGGGCACTTAGGCCGATTCTGTAATTTGACTATTGTGAATAATGCTGTAAAAATCATGAGTGTGCAGGTTTCTCAATGAGACACAGACTTTGATTCCTCCTGGCATATGCCAAGGGGCGGGTGGTATAGTTGAATGATATGGTTGTTCTATTTTTAGTTTTTTGAGGAACCTCCATGATTTCCATAGTAGCTGGACTAATTTGCATTCCCATCAACAGTTTATAAGTTTTTTTCCCCTCCACATGTTCACTTGCATTTGTTTTCTGTCTTAAAATTTGATGATGATGATGATGATGATGATGAGAGGTGAGAAGAGTGCATGTTTCCATGGCATGTGGAGGTTTGTAGAGTTGGTTCTCTCCTTCTACCTTTACCTGGGTTCTGGGGATCAAACCCAAGTCATCAGGCTGGTGCAGTTAGTGCCTTGACCCATCAAAGACTTTTATTTACTGAGCCATCTGGCCAGCCCATTTTCTTTATGATAGACATTCTGATTGGAGTGAGACAGAATTTCAATGCCATTTTAATGTGATTTCCCTGATGGTTAAGGAGAGTAAAAATGTCTTTCATGCACTTATGGGCCACTCACATTTTTTATATGAAGAATTCAAATTCAAAAAAATTATAGACACTAATAGAACAAATAACACAATCAATAAATGGGAAAATGAATTGACCTCCGTTCTCAAAAGAGAAAGTGTAAGTGGCTAACAATTAAGTATTTTTTAATTGTCTTTTGCTTATATCTATCATGTGTATATATATTATGTATATTATATATTATGTGCTTTCCAATTTTGTATTTTTATGAACTTTCTGTGTGTCTCTGTGTGTATGTGCTTCTCGTGCTCTTTCTTTTGTTTTCTAGTCTGCTTTGTTTTTTTATATGCCTGTTTGTTGTCCAAAGAGAGGGAAAAAAAGACTGAGTTGAATGGGTAGGGGGGGTAGAGATTGGATCTAGAAGGAGATGAGGAAGAGGAAACTGTGATCAGAATATAGCATATGAAAAAAAATACATTTTCAATTAAAAAACAAAAAGAAAGAAATGCATGGAAATCCTGCAGTGCGAAGCCCATAATCTAAAGACTTGGGAACCTGTGTACTAGTCTTCCATTATTTCCAAGACAGGACACCCACTCCAAGCCAGTAATGGTCACGAGTGTGGTCAATCAATACCTGATGTAATTCCCTGGCTAATGAGCTGATCTTTTCTAAGATCAGTCCCAACAGTTAACTCTGTTCCTGAAAATATAAAGCCTAAGATAGAAAATTAAAGACTGGGGGGTCCCTAGAGCTTGTCACCTGCCGGGGAAGTCCACAAACCACGCAATTTCTTCCTTCCCACACTTGCTTATTCATATCTTTCTTTAGAGATTATTAACTGGCCCTTAGTCTTTAAATACACCCTTTAGCTAAACTTGGGTTCTGTAATTTACAATCTACAAAGTCTTAAAAGGAGCCCCATATTAATTACTTTAATTATCTGCTACCTAGAGTTAAGCCTCATGAGCTCTTTTCTTACCAGTAACTATTGGCTACCCCAGAGCATCTAATGAAATCTAAACTCAGCATTAATGGTGGCACCTGTGGGTCAATTTAATATGTATGTGTTTGTGTGTGTGTTTGCATTCATGTGCATGAGCACACACCTGCTTCCTCTCCAAGTCTCCTCAGCACCCTTTTGTACTTTCCCGCAACAGCCTTCAGGCTGGATTCCTGTTCGCTCTCAAGGTTGCACACAGTTCATTTTTCCACCCGCTTACAGTTTTTGTGAGAGTATCGGGAACTCTCTCTGTATACACAACAGGGCCCTGTGCGTGCAAAGCCAGTAAAAAGGCATCTTCTCTCTCCAAGGAGGAGCTATTATCTATGTCTTTCCTGTGTTTTCTTCTATTTCATTGTACCCAGTAACTCTAACCACCAGAGCAAGGGCTTAGCCTTAGAGAGGTCAGGGATTCCTTTGATGGGCGCAACAGACATTGTCATGGGCGGGGGTGGGGGGGGATGAAGGCATGTGTACATAAAATTATGTATACAACCCAGATTCTTGGGATTCTGATTAATAACCACATCCCCAGCTTTATTAGTCCAGTTTGGGTCATTACAACAAAATACTCAAGGCAAGCTAACTATACAAAGACAAAATGTTTATTTGACGCAGCTTTGGTGACCACCTTATCATTCCAAGAATGTAGGTAAAGGAGAGAAGTCACACAGTAAAAGCCAAGGAGGTGGGGGGGGGGGTGTCCCCACAGTCCCCACCAAGAGTATGCCCCCATGACCTAAGACCTCCCTTAGTCTCCATCTTTACAGACCGTACCACATCCCGCCCCCACAGAAGACTAAGGGGATCCCTTAGTAGTTGGCTGGGAGCAAACATCTCAACTGTAAGCGCATCTAACACATCCCACACCACTAGTGACCCCTCCTCCCTCTAGCAATGACTCGCCCATGCCTCTGCTGTCACAGAGTGACAAAACAAACCTAGTTTCTCCCTCCTGGGACTTATTTCCCTTATGAGAGCGAAGAGCAGAAACTAAAGACCCTCCCCCTCCACACACACACTTACAGGCAGTAGTCACACTTAGAAGTCATTAGCTGCTTCCCCATTAGAATAAACCCAGGACAAACACTTGTAATTTCCTAGATTACAGTTTACCTCCCGTAAGCTGCATTTTAAATGGTTTCCTTGCTAGGGAGACATTCTTGGGCCCTAGCGGAGATCACAAAACAGCCAAATCCTATCAGCAACAGACTGAGCGAGAATTTCTTAGGTGGGTTATTTCCTGGGAAGATTATCATAGTGATTAATCTCATCTGCTTTTTGCCGTCAATTTCAGAGGGTGACATTTTTGGCCTTGTTCCCAGATTCCAGAGGCTGCCGTTTAAAACCTGCAGCTTCTTACAGGCTGTCTCCACCTTCTAATTAGAAAAGAGTTTTGAAACTGGTGGAGCTCTCTGGAATGCCTTCTCCAAGATAAATTAGAAAAGAAAGAGCAGGGAGCAGAGAGGTGGAAAGAAGAAAGATTAGGTAGACGAGAAAGAAAAAGAATCATAAAACTGCATGCAGGTCAGAAACTGGACAGAACTTTCTTTAAACCAGTGCCTTTAGCTTTGGAATTATTTCCTCTGAGGTTTTTGGTTTTTTTTTTGTCAACAAATAACATATATCTTTAAAAAATTATTTTGGCAGTTGAATTAAATGCAGGGAACCATGAAAAGCACATAGGCTCTCAGATGGTGCTCAGCAAACATTTGCTTCCTTCCCAGTCCCACTGCACTTGCTTAACACACTTGTTAGTGCATGCGAGCACACACGAGAGCACACACATTCACACACACACACTCGTGCACACACACGCATGCACACAAATAGTCCTCAGGAGCTAATCTACTTTGAAAGAAACAAAAACATAATAGTACATTAAAGATATTACTTACTGAGCCTTATAACTATTTTTTCCTTAATAGTTAACCTCTCCATATGAGCTCAATTTTCATAACTCAAGAGGCTTGTGAGTTAGGCCTTGAAAAATGGGTGGCACCCAGTCTGAAAGCCAGGAGAGAAGAAAGCCCACTTGGCAGAGAAATAGCACAGGTGAGGACTCCACACCGGGGTCATTTCAGAAAACGGCATTATCCGGTGAGCTAGAGCAAGGCTGAGTCGGGGAAATCGGGGCACGCCAGAAGGTGCCAAGGCATTTGGACGTCCTGCAGGTCACGAAGCCTCCCAGGACGCTTTCATCAGAATGGTGACAGGAACAGATGCGCCTTAGAAAGCAGACCGTGGCAGCAGCGGGGAGGATAAATGAGAGGTGGAGTGAAGGGCAAGAGAGAGAGAAAGCGAGACCAGTCAGAGCTATCGATTCCAGAGGAGAGATAATGAGGACCGGCACTGGAGAACGGGTAACGGCCATGGCAAGACGCCAGCGGGCTCTGGGGACGTTAAAGGGTAGAGCTGACAGGGTTTCGTGACTGATTAGGTGGGGGCGGGTAGGAAGAGAGGAATGGGGAGTGATTATAAACTCCTACCTTGGAAAACTCGGCAGACACGGATGGCATTTAGAAATGACAGGCAGTAAGAAACCGCTTTCTTTTCCTTTCCACAGCTGCCGCCCTGGACACTGTGCGAAGGACTCAACTCTCCCCAGCTCCCGCTTGACAAGAGTCTTGTATAACTCAATTCAGCAAAACTGGGAGTCAGTGGAGCACCCCAGTAGCTCAGCGAAGTTGGTTACTCCTGCCCATCTTTGCTTGGGTCCGCGAAACCCCTGGACCATAAGAGCAGTAAGAAATAGTCCCAGTCCCTACAGAGCTCATGGTCTAGCTGGCATGCTCACACACTGAAACCACGGTACAAGATGACCAGCCCTGTAAAACAGCAGTGCTGTAGCAGAAAAAGCTTTGCAAAGGTCACCCTTAAATGAGACATGAACTGGTGAGAGACACAGGCAGGGCATTTAACCACAGGAGCAGCAGATGTTTTAGAAGTGTGAAGAGATGGTAAAACTTAGGAAGGTGGTCGGGATGAGGTAGATGAAGCAGAACAGCAGAGAGCCGATCATAAAAGGCCATGGGAAGAGCACTGCTTAGTTGGGAGAATGCTCGCCCAGCACACACAAAGCCCGGGGTTTAAGCATCAGAATGCATAAACCTGGCATGGGCCACATACGTGTAATCCCAGCACACAAGAGGTAGAGGCAGGAGGACCTGGAGACAAGATGATCCTTGGCGATAGCCAGTTCAAGGCCAAGCTAAGCTACATGAGGCTGCCTCAGAAAGTGTTTTTTAAAGGTCATGTTTATGGGGCTGGAGAGATGACTCAGAGTACTGGTTCCTCTTCCAGAGGACCCAGGTCCAATTCCCAGCACCCACGTGGCAGCTCATAACTGTCTATAACTCCAGTTCCAGGGGATCTGACACCTTCACGCCAATGCACATAAAAATAAAGTTAAATAAATTACAAGAAAAGGTCATGTTTATTTTTTAAAGGTATGGTCTTAGATAAGGTTTCTATTGCTGTGAAGAGATGCCATGACCACTATAAGCAACTCTTATAAAGGAAAATATTTAATTGTGGTGGCTTGCTTACAGTTCAGAGGTTTAGTCCATTATCATCATGGCAAGAAGCAAGGCAGCATCCAGGTAGACATGGTGCTGGAGCTGAGAGCCCTTACATCTTGATCCAAAGGCACAGGAAATTGATATGAACCACTGGGCGTGACTTGAGCATGCATGAGACCTCAAGGCCCGCCTCCACGGTGACACACTTCCTCCAACAGGACCACACCTACTCCAACAAAGCCACACCTCTTAATAGTGCCACGCCTTATGAGTTTATGTGGGCCAATTACAGTCAAACTACCACAGGTATGTTTGGTCATTGAGTGCTTTTAAGCAGGAAAGTTTTTCAGCCACTGGTATTTATCCATTATTAAAGGAAAGCAGATAATATCTCACTGCCTATCTATCCCACGTTCTACACTAGCTTTATCCAGACCAAGAGTGGGTGAACTATGTTCACATTTTACCCCAGCCATTGAACTGTGAGCTACAATCACCTTTTCACCAGTCGCCTGCGTCTGGCTATGACTTCCTTTAAGGCAGAACTGACTGTTATTTTCACCATCTTTATTCCCAGAGCCTATCTGAATATACAGCCAAAGTTGGCACCTAGGATCCACTCTATGAATGATCACTGAACAATTTTTTTCCTGCACTTCTGGCCTTCTAGAACCCAGTGGATCATCTTCTGTTCACCATAGCTAAATGTTCACCAGAGGAAGGAGTGATGGAAGTCCCAGAAGATCGGGGTTCTAGTGCTCCCCAATGTACTGTCTTGGACATTGAACAAAACATACATATTTTAAGTAATTCATTAATTCATTTATTTGGGCGGGCATACATGCCACCGTGCATGTGTGGAGGTCAGAAAGCAGCTTTCACAAATCAGTTCTCTTTGTAGTGTGTGGGTGCTGAGGATCAAACTCTGGTCAAAGGAGCGACATTTACTATACAAATGAAAATTTCCCATGCAATCAGCCATCTTCATGTAGCATTAAGAGAAACTTGCAAAATAATTAAAGAAAAAAATAGGCCAGGCGGTGGTGGCACATGCCTTTAATCCCATAACTCGGGAGGCAGAGGCAGGCGGATCTCTGTGAGTTCGAGGCCAGCCTGGTCTCCAAAGCAAGTTCCAGGAAAGGTGCAAAGCTACACAGAGAAACCCTGTCTTGAAAAACCAAAAAAAATAAAATGAAATAAAATAAATGAAATCAGAAGTGCTGGGGTCCAACTCGGGGCTTGCATTAACCAGTTCTTTAGTTTTGGAACGTCACTTTTATTCTGAGTAGAATTTTTTAACCTGTAAAACAAACATAGGAGCATCCTCTACCCAAGCCCCCACCCACCCTCACTGTAAAAACCACAGTATTTTTATGGAACTTAATGGGGTCTCACATAACATCGTATTAGTAGAACACATTTCCGATATTACTGGTAACTCTTCAAAAGCAGAGTATTTGACTCATCTATTACCATATTTGACACATGGCCAGGATCTATAAATAACTGCCAAAAGAATAGAGAGCAAAGAATGTTAAAATTTTCCTTTGTGAAATGAACTGAACTTCAAATATTCACGCTGCAAATTATTTTAAATAGGCACTGTAAGTGTCGTTTCATTTTAGATAGCAGACATGGCAATTAGCAGAGTGTCTGTACAGCCAGAAACATTACCATTCAGTCTGGTTTTTATTCAGGATAATGACTGTGAATGCGCTTTGACTAAATGGATGGTTCTGCTACAGCAGGGCTGAATGCATGCTCATGCTATTGTGAGACGTCTGACCCAGGCAGAAGACATGTGCTTCCATCTGCGGAACACTGGCTTTTGAATGACCTCCTACCCCACTCAACACAACAGAGAAAAGTGCTATGTAAATTGGAGGCACATACCAAACTTCCACTGATTAGTGCTGGGTGGTGGTGGTGGCAGCGGCGGCGGTGGCGGCGCTCGCCTCTAATCCCAGCCCTCAGGAGGCAGAGGCAGGAAGATCTCTGAGTTCAAGGTCAGCCTGGTCTACAGAGTGAGTCCCAGGGCAGCCAGAGCTACATAGTGAGACCCTGTCTTGAAAAACAAAAAATAAATAAATAAATAAATAAATAAATAAATAAATCAGCTAATATATGGCAGGGATACAGAAGTACAAATCTATCCAGCCTGAGCCAGACATTTGAAGGATCTGTTATTTTGTGAACATAACTACTGACTTACTAGGTCAAGATGAAAAGAAATTTATAAAAACAGGAAGTCAAATAATTTTTATATAAATCCAAGTTCCTTGCATGCATACTCACTCACACACACACACACACACACTCACATACGCACGCATGCGTACACACGCACGCACGCGCGCGCACACATACACCCTACCATAAAACCAGCTATACTACTTTCAGGTCCACCCAAATTAGAAAAATGAAATCATGGCATTTGCAAGGAAAAGGATAGAACTAGAAATTATGTTTCCTCTCATAATGCAGGTCCTAAATTTTAACTATGTATGTGAGTGGGTGGAAATAGGTCATGAGAAAGGAAGGGGACCATAATAAGGGGAAGAATTTCAGGGTTCTGGGGGGGAGAAAGAGAAGTGTGACACGAGGACCAGGCGTGGTACTGCATATCTTTAATTCCAGTATTTGGGAAGCAGAGGCCGGTGGATCTCTGGGGGTTCGAGGACAGCCTGGTCTACATAGTGAGTCCCAGGACAGCCAGAGCTACATAGTGAGACCATTTCAAAAGATCAAAAAACTTAATAAAAAGAAATGTGACATGAAGGTAGAAGGGCTACTAGAGAGGAGGAGACCAGTAGCAGGGGGTAGGGGAGAGACCCACAAAAAAGGACATATGAATGCCATAATGAAGCCCATTTCTTTGATGCGCATTTAAGAAGGCTTAATAAAAGCAAACACCTACAAAGCTTTAAGACTGGGTCTCCTTTGGAACTCTAGAATAATCCGTTCCTCTCATCCCACCATCTAATGTGTGTGTGCATACATGTACATATAGTCTACACATAATTCCATTCAACCCTTTTCCTTACAAATGACATGACTTTTATGGCTGAATAAAACTCAGGGGTGTCAAGCCTCAGGAAAAGAGAAACTTCAAGCACAAGGAAATGAGAAACTAAAAATCTAGTTCCAAGGGCAACCTGACTCAGCCACTACTCAATGTAACAATGTAAAAAGATTTCTGTTAAGAGATGTGCTCAACTGTAACTGGGATAGTTGCAGGTGTTCCAGGAAGGACCACTGTGACCTTTGTGTAAACTCCACTCCCGCCCTGATATCCCCCCTTGAGGTTTCGGGAAGAATGTACCTGTTGACGTAACTGTACCCCCTCTGTGATCACTCTGTAGCCAGACCATGATCTTGTGAAACAAAATTGTATGGGAATTGTAATCTTATGGGTTTTGTGGGTTTTTCCTTTATAAGCCCCCATGAGGCTGCAGTAAGATGCGGCTCTTGTTCTTAGGAGCAGAGTTTGTCCTTCTGTACAGAAGCTTAATAAATCCTCCTGCTTTTGCATCAAAAAAAAAAAATCCCTAGGGTGTGTATCACATTTTCTTTATTCACTGGTCATACTTCCTATGTAACTGTAAATTGTGCAGCAATAAACATAAATGAACAAGGATCTCTGGAAGAACCTAAGTGCGACTTTGGGCTGGTCGATGTGGTACTTCTGCTGTTTTGAGAAACCACGGATTCCCACAGTAGCTGTTCCAGTCACTCTCAGCGGCAGCTTGCATCCTCATCTGGGTTCGTCTTCTCAACTTCAGCCATTCTGACTAGAGTGAGGGCGAACTTCGAGCATGGTTTTAAACCTGCCTTTCCCTCTAAGTGTTTATTGTCAGTTTGCTTCTTCAAGAACTGCTGTTCAGTTCACTTGCCCGTTTACTAATTGGATGACTAGAGTGTGTGCAGTGTTTTTCTTCTTTACATATTTACCTCCAATATTTAGTAGCTTGTTCTGTGCCAGCCAAGAACGCTGGGCGAATTAATTCAACTTTTGTCAAAACAGGGACTCACTATGTAGCTCTGGTTGTTCTTGGAACTCACTACGTAGACCAGACTGGCCCTGAACTCACAGAGACCTGCTAGCCTCTGCCTTCCAAGTGCTAGGACTAAAGGTGTGCACCACTGTGGTTTCCTAGTGAGATCAGAGCTTGCTTTACCCAGCAGAGCTGCATTAGAGAATTGTTTGACCATGTGCGTGGTTACCAGGTGTTTGGAAGGGTCTGCACTTGGCTGTGCTGGGGGGAGGAGGCCTTTTGCTCCACACCTTGGCATTCCTTTAAAAAGCCCTTTAGAGGAGGCTGGAGAGATGGCTCAGAGGTTAAGAGCACTGGCTGTTCTTCCAGAGGTCCTGAGTTCAATTCCCAGCAACCACATGGTGGCTCACAACCATCTGTAATGAGATCTGGCTCCCTCTTCTGGCCTGCAGGGATATATGCAAGCAGAACACTGTATACATAATAAATAATTAAAAAAAAAAAAAAAAAAAAAAGCCCTTTAGAAGAGACAAAAGGGGCCAATAGTTAAGGATCCAGTCCCTTCGAGACTATTCTGTGTTTCTATCTGTCTCCCTCCCCTCTGTATATCTAATAAAATCTCTTATCCCTCACTCGAGTACTCTGGGGGAAAAAGGTGGGGGCGGATCCCCCCACACCATTATGCCCACCTCAATTTAACTCTTACCAAGCAATTCTCTGATTATATTTTCATCCCCATTTTACAGATGGAAAACCATGTATCTAGATGTGAAGATATTGTTCAAGATCTAAACCTAGGCTGTATGGTCCGGGCTCTCTTCATCAGCCTAGGACACTTTTCTAACTATATGAATGTCCATTCTTTAAACTATGCGATTTCACATTGCAGTGTACAGTGTGGTTTGTCCTCATCCTAGTCAGAATGACTAAAGTCAGAAAACTAACCCAGGTGAGGATGCAAACTGCTGAGAGTCAACTGGAGCGGCTTCCAGGTGAGTCAGCAGGGGGTGGGGGGTGGGAGAGGGGGGCGGAGAGAGAGAACAGAACAACAGAAATGGCTAGAGGTGGCCTGGTGGTTAAGAGCACTTGCTGTTCTTCCAGAGGACATGGGCTCCTTTCCCATCACCTTACAACTGCTATGCCCAGATTGCGGGGACCCCCAAAAGACCACCACGGAGACCAAATCCCGCATGTAAAAGCCAAGAGGCTTTATTTCAAGCTCCAGAGCTTGGTCCCTCTGTCTGTCCAACACAGCGGTGAGAGCCGAGAGCCCTGAGCTCAGGTGGGGCAGAGTTTTTGTTTTGTTTTGTTTTGTTTTTAGCAGAGGTGGGGGTGAGGGGATTTCCAGGGTCCAGAACCCTGATTGGCTGACAACTGTCTAGGGGTATCTGAATGTTCAGGATGTCAGGTACTTCCTCACCCCTGGGTGGATCCCTGGGTGGTGTGAGCTTATGGCTTTCCTGGATCTGGGTGTTGCCTGCCAGTAAGCCTGTCCCAGAAACTGTGTCTAGGCCCCTACGCCTGTCATGGCTGCTGTCTGGTCAAGCTATTTTGGGGCCCCTTCACAACAACCATTTGTAACTCCATTTCCAGAGGATCCAACATCTTCTTCTGGACTCTGAGGAGCACCAAGCACACACATGGTAGATATACATGTTTGCAAAACTCATAGATATAACAAAGTTACACACACACACACACACACACACACACACACACACACACACACACACACGGTACAGTTGAAGAACTGCCCCTTATACAAATACACATCAGGAAGGTCAAACTGACCGGCAAGACATCTGCCGGAGTTAAGTGTTGAGTCCCATTTATTTTGCAGAAATTGTCTGCTGGGTCTGGTCACTGAAAAATCTAAAACACAGTGAAAAGGGCATGTTATTTTAGTCACAAGAATTCAGTTAAAATTCTAGTTCTGTCATTTATTACCAAGTCATTTAATCTTTAAAACTTTGCTCATCTATAAAACAAGTACAACTAAGTACAAATACCAACTCTGAAGTGTTCTCATAAACATTAAGCTGTGGCAGAGTAATACCCTAAATTGATTAACCATGAAAAACCATTAACACAATACAAAATCAATTAAGCAACTATTGTCACTGAGTGAGGAAAGGATGGATATTAAATTTTCTCTCATCTATAAAGTTTGCCATAAAACACAAGGATGATGAATATGTTTTCTAGTCAAGCAGTGGTGCATACCCCTTTAATGCCAGCACTCAGGAGGCAGAGGCAGCAGCGCTCTGAGTTCGAGGCCAGCCTGGTCTACAGAGTAAGTTCCAGGACAGCCATGGCTACACAGTAAAACCCTGTCTTGGGGGATGGGGGATGTTTTCTTAAGAGAGAGACAAAATTGTTCACAAAAGTATGTGTTCCACAGTTATGAAAGGGGAGGTTCTTAGGAAAAGTAATGGTTATGTGGCTAATGTTTACAGGGGGGGGGGCAGGAATGGTGACATTTACTTAGAATCCCAATGCTGTCAAAACAGAGACAGGCAGAGCCGGGCAGTGGTGGCGCACGCCTTTAACTCCAGCGCTTGGGAGGCAGAGGCACGTGTATCTCTGTGAGTTCGAGGCCAGCCTGGGCTAGAGTGAGTTCCAGGAAAGGCACCAAAACTACACAGAGAAACCCTGTCTCGGGAAAAAAAAACAGACTGTCAACCTAGCCAACCTGGCCAGCTCCAAAAAATAAAAACACAAACAAACAAAAAAACCCAAGAACAGGGTTGGGGATTTAGCTCAGTGGTAGAGCGCTTGCCTAGCAAGCACAAGGCCCTGGGTTCGATCCTCAGCTCTGGGAAAAAAATATATAATCAAGTGGATGGTGCTTGTGGAATGATAACCAAGGCTGATGCACACTTGCGCGCGCGCGTACACACGCATACACACACACACACACACACACACACACACACACAATAGTAAAGCATGAGGGTAATGACAAGAGATTTCATTTAAAGACCACCACAAGTAGAATTTTTTATATTTTTCTTTTCTACTCGTAACTCACAGCACAGATGGCAAGAGAGTTGGTAATATAACAGTGATGTTAAAAACAAAACAATATATTCAGCCATAAATTAACTAAAGGACAAGTTTTACACAACTTATCAAACATTATTATATTACTTATAAAACCCGGACGGTGAGAAGTCAGTAACTGCGATCCACGGTTTTAAGAGTTCTTTTGCTGAGTTGGCAGTAGTGGATGATTATCACAGCTTTTCCAAAGAAACTAATCCAAACAACCAGCACACCTGGTAATCCCAGTACTTGGGAGGTAGATTCAAGAGGCTAAGGAGTTCGAGGCTAGCCTCTTTATACAGCAAGTCTGAGGCCAGCCTGGGTTACAGGAGACCCTATGTCTTACAGCAACAACAGCAAAACAAAGACAATAATGAACCTAATCCAGGGAATTTAACTGGAGGCCTTTAAGGACATTTTGGAGACGTCAAAAAAAGCAGTTACAGAAGAAAATACACAGCGCTCTGTTTAGAACACTATCTGGAGAACATTCTTCTTAATCGAATAACTAATGCTTGTCTGTAAATCAGTTTATCAGTTTTACACAGTAATGCTGTAGCATGGATCTGAACTCTCCTCACAAAGGCCCGTGTAGCAAAAGCTTGCTCCCTTACCTGTGGCACTATTGGGAAGCTGTGGAAACTAGGTCATGCCCAAAGGGAGACTTTAAGGCATTGGGGAGCCCTCAAAGGGAACTAAAAACCCGTCTCTTCTTATCTTCTGCACCCCCAGTGAGGTGAATAATTTGTCTTAGCACGTTCTCCCTGCCACAATATGCTACCTCATCACAGGCCTGAAGCAACAGGGCCAACCAATCTCCAACTGAAACTTCTAAATCCACGGCCCCAAACAAGCCTTTCTCTCTACAAGTTGATTTACACGAGGCCTTTGCTACAGTGACAGAAAGATAACGCAGGTAGTATAGGAACAAGAGAATTATGCAGAAAACAAGCCAGAGATACACAAGTTTAAGGAATTACTCAAGGACTAATAAGGAAACAACAGGGATCAGCACTGAAAAGAAGCCAAAGCGATCCGACGGCCCAGCTGCTGCCGAGGCTGACAACCCAAGTTTGATCCCCAGGGCCAGCACAGTGGAAAGAGGAAAGCTAACTGCCACAAGTTTCCCTCTGACGTCACAGGTGCATCTGTCCTCCATACACAGGCCATGACACCTGTGCCTGGTCCCCAAATAAAAATTTAAAAAGCTGCAAAGCAAAAGTATAATCCAGGCCGGGCGGCAGGGGCGCACACCTTTAATCCCGGCACTCGGGAGGCAGAGCCAGGCGGATCTCTTGTGAGTTCAAGGCCAGCCTGGTCTACAGAGCGAGTTCCAGGAAAGGAACCAAAACTATAAAGAGAAACCCTGTCTCGAAAGACAAAAACAAAAGGTAAAATCCATGAGACCAAATCAAGTCATTTCTCCAATTAACTTATTAAATGATCTGCAACAGGGAGCTGGAGAGTTGGCTCAGTGGTTAAGAGCACTGGCTGCTCTTCCAGAGGAATCTGGTTTGATTCCTAGCACCCACATGGTGGCTCAACACCATCTGTAACTCTAGTTCTAGGAAATTCAGTGCCCTCTTCTGGGTACTTTGGGCACATGACACACAGACATACATGTAAAACACCCATACACATGAAACAAGTAATAAAAAAATAAATGTTTTGCAGCAAGTACACTGCATCTCTTAAGAAACACCTGCATTTCTTTGATAAAGAATTTCTGAGCCAGGCACAGTGGCACAGGACTGTGATCCCAGCCCTTGGGAGGTAGAGGCATGAGGATCAGGAGGCTGAGGTTATCTTGGACTATAAAATAAGTCTGAGGCCAGCCTGGACTAAGATCGTCTAACAACAAAAGAAGTCAGGCCTATACAAACACCCGAAGTATACTTTCCTTCCTCAAATTTTCACTTCAAAAATTCACTTGGATACATAGCTCAGTAGCAGAGTATTTGCCTAGAATGCTGAGGCCCTGGTTTTAATGCCCATAATAATTTTTAAAGGGTCATGTACCATACTTGGAATGCCACCAAACTGTCTTAAACAATGGGCTCTTGAGTTATGAGCTCAGGAGGAATAGGGGACTTAAGGTTTTAGGAAAGGACATTGTTTTCTACAACTGACTGCTTTTCTTACACACAGGCAGCCACAGAAAAGCTACCTATTCTTTCTAAAACCAAATCCCAAAAGGAACCCAGCAAAGAAACGCTGCCAGTAACACAATTTTTAATTATGACCAGCCTATAAATACTTTATCCTCAAAGGTTTTTTAGGCTTGCCTTAACATTAAAAAACAAACAAAATAAAAAACAAAAACAAAAACCCCTACTTTTCTGGAGCAATATTTGTTTTTGGGAATTTGTGGCTGTTGTTATTTTTAACTCTGAAAAAAACAATTTACTAGTTTTTTTAAATCATGTTCATAAAACCATACTCATCTATTGACTGACTGTTAGGAAGCCCTCAACTTAGATGGGCTCTATCTTTTCTAAAAACATCCCAGGATGCTTATTCATACAGGTGAGAAAGCAGCCCCCTCCCCAAGAAATGTTACAGTGTTAAGTAAAAAGACTTGCCCACCAAAGCCTCATTTCTGCAATTTCTCACGTCCCTTGCAGCCTCTTCATCTAGACCAGTGAGTCCTAAGGATGCTCTTACGCTTTCCAGGAGTCTGCCTTCCCTCCCGTCACGGAATTTTCAGAGTGTAGGATTTAAAGTGGGAGACGCCTTATGAACAATATAACAATTTAGGTGATAAAAACCAGACTAGAGCAAATGGAATTTTACCAAAACTTGTAGGTTTTATCACCTAAATTCTACTACTTTTAAAACAGACAATACTCAGCTTAAACCCTAAATGAAAATCTTTTTAGCAATTAGGAAAAGGATAAGTATATAAATATCGTAAGTATTCAATTTCTTTTTTAAAAACTCGGCTCTAAAGATGGATGAGTTTAAATTTAATCTTTTTGTGTAAGATGAATACCAATGGTACTAACACTGAAAAACTGAATTACAAAACAAATCCATAATCACAATTTAAATTCTTTGGATTGTTTATCTCTAAGCCCCGACATTTAATACAAAAATTTAACACTTTCCCAATTAAGCATGGTAGTGTTCATACTCTATATGTAAAAATGCTGTACTTTGGGAACTGTAGAACGAAAAGGTGGGCTGAAGGTACAGCAGCGGCACACTGTAACAGGAACACACACTGCTGGGAACCTTTTGTCTGTTTCTCTCCTGTCTTCTAGGTTCATCGGCTTTTCAACGGTCAAACAAGAAACCTTTACTTTTCATCAAACAAATGAGTCCTAAGACTTTCTAAAGGATGGACTTTGATTATCGGGTCCCCTTTACATAGAAGGCCAATACTGGTTTTAATTTCTATTGGAACCAAGGAACTTTCACTGGAGTGCTTAGAATGTTCAGGGAGAAAAAACTTGCAAAGCCTTTCTCGTCCATACACAATCATCAGGATGCGATCGAAGTTGCAGAAGATCCAGAACACACATTAGTCATATTTGAGTCTCTCTATGAGGCGCTCCTCCTTGTAGTGGGAAATAATCTGAATCAGTATGGAACAGTTGATCAGAAGAAAGAACAAGCCGGCTAACCAAATGAACAGGAAGGTGTTCTTTCCTTGAAACTCTAGAACATAGGCAGGAGCCAGCCATAAGGCCTGCCCTATAAACCACAGCAGTAAGAGGACTACGGCCCTCTTCCAAGGCATTCTCACGAGTGGCATCACCAGGGGCAGAAGGCAGAGGTACCAAAGGAAGTACTGAGAGGTGCACACTTTGTTGAAAGTCACGAAAATGGAGGTATGGAGAAAACAACAGAAGACAAGGTCTCTGTAATAGGCAAAGGACACGGCCGAAAGCAAGATGAACTGTGGCAGGAACGCCGCAATCCCCAGGGTAAAACTCCACTTGCTCTCCGCAGTCAAGTACAGCATATAGAAGTACGGCGAGAAGTTGTGGCGGATATCCCTTCTGGTCAGGTGGTACAGGTAGGTGTGCTCCACAAACTCCCAGCCGTACTTATAGTAAAAGCCGAAGCTCAGGGCCAAGAACGTGAGCCCCGCCACCGCCACGAAGAGCAGCACGGCCCAGCTACACAGCCTCCTGAGGAAGTCGTACAGCCGGGCCTGGAAAGAGTAGCGGGCCTGCCGGAGACTCTCGTCACTCTCGCGCTCGGGTCGCAGGTGGAGGGCTATGGGGAGGATGTAGGTCACCGGGTACATCTTCATGTGCACCGCGCACCCGTAGAACACCGCGGCACACGCGATGAGCCGCCTCTCCACCAGGTACAGGGCCGCCAGCACCAGGGAGGCGACGATGGAGTCGGCGTTGCCCCGGCTCGACACCGCCATGGGTAAGGGGTTCAGCAGCCAGAAGACGCAGTAGCCACAGGCCTGGCGGCGCCCCAGCCCCCTGAGCAGCAGCAGGCGGTAGGCGAGCAAGGCGGTGAGGAGGTCGCAGCTGATGAAGAGGAACTTGCCGAAGAGGCCGCCGAGGTAGACGTTGGGGGTGAGCAGCCAGCTCAGCAGCGGGGTGTAGCGGTACGTCGCCCGCAGGTACGGGGAGCGCCCTTCCGTGACGAAGCGCGCGGCGTCCGTGAACACATGGTAGTCCACGTCGGTGTACCTCACGAGCAGGGTCCGGTCCTGGAAGACACCGTAGAACACCAGGGCCACCCGGGCCAGGAAGGCCACGCCGAACACCCCGGCGGGGGGCACCCGCAGGTTCAGGAACCATTCCCCCCAGGGCCTGGGGTAGCTCATGGTCTGGCCGCGGGCCCAGCCGCCCCGGCGCCGGCTCCACGCGGCGCCCCCCTCTCTCTCTCTCTCTTAGCCGTCCTCCAGCTCACTCCGCCCGGACTCCCCGAGCATCTCCTCCGCTGCGGTGCAAACAGACACAAGCCAGGGACGGCCACTTCCGGCACGGAGCCCCCGCCCACCCCACCCCCCACGCCACTTCCGGCCTCGCGCGGGTTCCCCGCCGCCGTCCTCCCCGCCCCGGCGGAACCATTATCTTCCTCGGGATTGGCTGTCTTGCCCCCCTCACCCCACCCCTTAGCGTCCTCGCTTCCGGCGGAGGAGGGGTTTCCGGTCCCTCATTGGCCACATTTCCGCTGGCCCGAAAGCCCGGAGTGGCCTTAGATGTTGTGGAGCGGAGTGGAGTGAACTTTGTTTTTAGCAACCGGTGCTCCCGCGTTCCCAGCTCGGGTCAACCCAGGAGGACCTGTGGCCCAGAGTGAGCCATGACCTGCTGGCTACTGAGTGAAAAGTGGAGACGGAAAGGAAATAAACCTAAAATAGTTCTCAGGTTTTTACCCCTGATGGCAATGTTCCTCCTACTTGTTGTCCATGTTGACACCCCCGGAGTGCCCTGGAGTGTCGTCAACTCCGATCTTTTCAAGCACCCTTCACCGAAGTCAAAATCTGCCCTTCATCCACCCGGTTCTACCCTACCGCTATTAATTTCTTTGCCAAGGACTCCAGCTCTTTCCTTCTTCTTCTGGTTACTTAATGCACTTATTACAATCGGCTTTTAAGAACTTCATACTTTTAGAGTATTTCCAGTTTCAACTACACTGTAGTGTTCTTGAGAGTAGAAAGGGTATCTTTATTTCTTTGTACTTTTCTGACACGGGCTGACTGGCTTGATCTTACAAATTGAGCCTGCTCCTAGGGAAAGTCTTGTAGCTTAGTATAGAGGTGGCTCCACTCAGTCTGGACATGCATCTCTCATCCTACACTTCACGTTTATCCTTTGAAGGAGCCATATTAACCTTATATTCTGATATTTCTACCCTTTAATATGCCTTGATGTAAGTATACGTTGTAGATTAATAACTACTTCTAGTTATTTTTCACCATGCACTGGCCATATATATAGTGATAACACATTACCATTCAAATAACCATTATGATTCATAATAGTTGTTTGTTAAGGATTTATTTACAATTGTCAGACGTACTAATTACTTTTTAATGGAAAGTAGATATTTTTACCTTTACCAAATGAGGAAAATGTTTACATGGTCACATAGCCAACTAGTAGCAGAAGTGAATTGAAAGTAGGTCTGTCTAACCCAACATATCTTAATTGTTGCGTGATGAACTTGCAGGTAAAATGCTGATTTGCAACTTCTAGTTTCTCTCTGTTTTTATCTTCTTAATCTCATCTTGAAATCTGTTTGATATCCTCTCTCATTTTTACTCTTTCTATCCCTGATTTGTTATTTTTTCCTTTGTGAGTTATAGGTAAGTGAAGCTTAGCGTCAGTAGAGAATATGAGAGAGATGTCTGGAGATTAAGTAAGGGTTCTTCTGGGTTGTTTTCGGTATTTTGGCAGAAAAGCCCCAGGTAATTATCCTTTAGGGCTGGCCTAGTAAATAGGAGAAACACAAAATTCAGGAAAATAAACAAACAACAAATCAAAAGAAACAGCCTGTCCCTGAGTCAGATGAGTGAGATGCAGAAAAGAGCAGAACTCTTGAACAGATGTCACTCCCTGCCTTTAGTGTCCGGCCCTGTGAAGTGTTTTCCACTGATTTTATGTTTTAGAATATGTTAATTATCTATTTTGTATTAGCATATGCTAAATGCTTCACCCTTGGTTATATTTGTTATGTATCACTTATTTCTCACAAGTATGTAAGAACTACAGATTTGAAATCTGGTTACTTCATACATCTTGTACATTTAATATGTCTTATGACTCACTTGTTGATGAGGGACCCAATTTTCCCCTGCCCCCTTTGTCCTTCCATCTTAAGGACCAAGAGTCAAGTGACTATAACCTGTTGTTTCTTGCCAGAGTGTTTGGAGTTGGATATTGACCACGACTTTCTCAGGCTCATACTAGGTAAGAATAGCTGAGAAATCCATTACTTGGGGACAGAAATGCCTTCTGCTTAAATTGGACTTCCAGACCCTTGAGGGTATAAGGAAAACCATCCAAATAGCATTTCCTAGTGTGAAAGGGGGAAAAAAATGGACTCAAACATCACCATCTAAGAGACAGTGTCCCAGATCCAGACCAATTTGACTCCTGGAATTATTTGAGCCAGTTTTCAGATTCTTGAGTCTTAGTATTGATTAAGTCTTGCCCTTTAAGAACTGGATTTTCAGGCTGGAGAAATGGCTCAGTGGTTAAGAGCACTGGGTGCTCCTCTAAAAGACCCGGGTTCAATTCCTGGCATCCACATGGCAGCTCACAATTGTCTGTAACCCTGG